TGATGATGCATGGAGGGGATTGTAACCATGGCAATGAAACGAAATACGATAGAATGAATGTAAAACTAATGTTCTCCCATGTAAACTATCATGTAATTCACAATAAAACATTAAAAAAAAAAGATAAACCAGAAAAGCATAATACAAATACCTGGATGGATGTCTGTTGGCTACTAAAAGAATACTCACTAAAATGGCAGGACTCCTGATGTCGACTGCATAGTCAGCCTCAGACGGCTGGATGTTCAGTTTCAAAACATTATGCAGAGAAATGCCTTCTATTCCCAATCTGTGCAGACCTTCCATTACCCATGCTTCATTCCTCAATGTATCAGTTAAACTATAAAGAACATATATTAATAGTTTAGAAACAAAACAAAAAGGCTTTAAAAAAAATTGTGTTCATGCCATAACATAGTTCACAAAAACAGTGTTCTACATTTGGCTTTGGTGAGTAGCAACTGGGGTCTTAAAAACTTTTGAACAGGGCATTTCAACGCAGAGCAGAGAGGCTGTGGGTGCAGCTTGTGAAACATGAACAGAGAAGGGTTACAGCCCAGTTTCCTCCAGACACCCCCTTGACCTCAGGATCGAACCCCACCGCTCTGCTGGTAGGGCCTACCCTGCCAACTATCCTGTGGCATGAACCTGGGTGGTTCTGGGCACCCCACACACAGCATGGATAGTCAAAGTTCTAAGGCTCCTCAGAGCAACATGAACACCAACGAGGCAGCAGGAGCATCCCCCACCAAGGACAAGGGATACGAGAAAGGCCATGTGAAAAGCAATGGAGACTTAACCTCCAAGGGGGACGGGGAGTCGCCATAATAAATGAGGCAGCCACAGCCACAGCCATTGGCAAGGCCATGGAGTCAGCACCATCCACTCAAAGCACTGAGGCCAAGGGGGAGGCTTCTACCAGAAGATCCCCCAAGAATAAAGAAATCTTTCAAACTAAGCAGGCTGTCCTTCAAGAAAAATCAGAAGGAAGATGTGGGTGATTCCTCTGCCTCCTCATCCATAGAGGAAGATCAGAAGCAGGAAGAGATTGGTGCCTGCAATGACTAAGGCACTGCCCAGGAAAGGTAGGTTGCCACCCTGGAAACCCAGAAACCCCAGTCCAAAATGGCAGTGGCCAGTGCTGCCTCCAAGGGAAGAGACATGGAAGAAGAGGCAGGACCCCAGGATGCAGACCTGTTTATTCCTTTGGGGCCAGAGAATGGCCCTACAACTTGCCAGAGAACAGAATGAGTAGCAGGTGGGTGATCTCTAAGCTGCAAAATCTGTGATGTCCTTGTGAGGTTACTGCTTAGACCTGGTGCCCTTGCTGCCTTCCTGTGCCCAGAAAGGTAGGGGCTGTTGCCCTCTCCCAGTCACTTCCCCTCCCCTCAAGTGGATTCTTCCATCATCTATCTGATCTTCCTCATGAGGCCAGCAGAAGACGGCTCCTTTCAATTTACCAAGTTAGGTTAGTGATGTGAATTACTCCTGCTTCTACCTCCTTCCCATCCCCACCCCTGTAAGAAGCAATTGCTCATTTTCTTTCCAATTCTTTTTCAATTAGGTTTTGTTTACTCTGCTCCCCAAATCCCTGAGTCAGAAGTGGGGTGTCTATACTCTTAAAACACCCAAGTTTATATAAATGCCTTGGCAGTGGTTTTGTGCCTTGAGTTGGTCCCAACTCATAGCGACCCTGCACAGGGTTTCTTAGGAGCGACTGGTGCATCTGAACTGCTAACCTTGCAATTCAATCTGACCTTGAGGTCCAGTGCATTATCCTACAGCACCACACCGGGACTCCTATTCAAGTTCAAAATTCCAGCTTGAGGATCAACTGTGTCTCTTCTTTGATTTGGTAAGCAAGTATCAGGCTTTGGGGGGTTGGGGAGGTCTATAATGTGAAACAACTTATTTTGTCATATTTTCCTCCTCTCTCTTGTAAATAACTTTTACTGGCCAAATACCAGATATGTTTTGTTGTTTTTCTTTTCTAACTGCTAAAACATTTTCTTCCGTCTAGTTTCACTGTAACATTTGGAAAAGGAATAAATGTTGTCCCTTTAAAAAAAAAAAAAAAAGCTTTTAAGCAGTTATCTCAGATGCAACTTTTGGTCTCTTACCCTTCAAAAGAAACAAGAGTGAAGATATTGATGCATGCAATTAGTCCAATTAAGTTTCATCCAGTCAGTTCCAACTCATAGAGACCCTGTATAGAGTTTCCGAGGAGTAGCTGGTGGTTTGAACTGCTGACCTTGTGGTTCACAGTACTGTGCTAAGCCTACAGCACCATACCAGGAGTCCCGTAAATATATTTTAGAGCTATTTACTCCAAAACTACATTTTAATAACAAAAGAAGATATTCAAATGGCTTATTTAAGACAGACCAACTTCTGAGATACTACAGACAGTATTTTCAGGAGAACCTACTTCATCATGGATGAACAATATGAAGTACGTAAGTTAATATTATTGATGTAAATAAAGGAATTGGCCTTAGAAGAGAAAAAATAGGACAAAAATAAGCTAAACTCAATGGAGGTACATGTACAGAATTTTAGTTTCTGTAATTATTTTAAAGTACCCTGGTAGCGCCGTAGGATAAACACTGGACTGCCAACTGCAAGGTCTGCAGTTCAAACCCACCAGTCACTCAGCACAGGAATGATGAGGCTTTCTGCTCCCAAAAACACTTTACTCGCTTTGTATCAACTGTATACATGCTACAACCTTCTTGTGAACTTCAATTTCCTTGTCATAAAAAGAATACACTGAATTTACAATAAACTCTATAACTCTTATTCATGACAGGCTGATATGATATGTATTTTCTAACATTCACGAAACTTTTTAAAAGTTAAAACTCTAATTAAATCCAACTCACAAATAAGAAAAAGAAGAAAATAATAATAACCCACTTCACACTCTTCCCAAAAGGAAAAAGAACATACACTTTATAGTTAGTAGAAAATTATAGCTCCAAAGAGTAATCCTGGAAAAATACTCTTAAATGCACACAGTATTGGAAAGCAGGGAACATAACTACTGCACATCACATCACCTTGTACTCTCTGGGTTTTGATAAGACACCAGGTTTTACATCATGCCACAGAGTGGAGGAATGACAATCTGAACACATCACAAAGAACTATGATTAAGCAAAGCTTTAGAGAATTAAAAATATAATCCATACCTGAAAATATCCTGCGTATCTAAATCAATGTGCAGTCCATTGATGAACAGAGCTGAATCTCCTGGTTGTAATCCTAAAGTTCCTTTAAAATACTAAAAGATTAAAAAATTAGAGAGTAGTAAAAGAACATGTAACAGAAAAATATTCAATTTTTCGGGCTTTATATATATATTATAAAAGAACTCTGGTACCGCAGTGATTACAAGTCGGGCTGCTAACCTCAAGGTCACCAGTTCGAAACAACCTTCTGCAGGAGAAAGATGACGCTTTCTGCTCCCATAAAGATTTGCAGCCTCGGAACCCTATACAGGATTGCTATAAGTCGGAACCTACTGTACAACACACTACCAATACCACCACCACCACCATATATGAAGGAGCTCTGGTAGCGCAGTGGTTACGAATTGGGCTGCTAACCTCAAGAATGGCAGTTTGAAACTACCAGCCATTCTGCTGGACAAAGACGGGGCTTCCTGCTCCCGTAAAGATTTACAAGCTCGGAAACCCAGTGCAGGGTCACTATGAGTCAGAACTAACTCCACTGTAGTTAACAACAACAACATTATATGTACGAAACTTGACATCTTCTTATTTACTGTTAGAGTATAACTATGCTTCACAGGGTTTTTAATAGCTGATTTTTCAAGAGTAGATAGCATTTTCTCACAAGGGGCCTCGAGGCAAACTCAGACTACAACACTTTCAGTCAGAAATTGAGTACACTCAGTGACTCCACAAATAAAGTATAGTTGCTGTTGTTGTTCTGTGCAGTCAAGTCAGTTCCGATCATAAAAACAGGGTTTCCAAGGAGTGACTAGTGAATTTGAACAGCCAACCTTGCATTTAGCTATCCAATGTTGATCCTACAGTGCCACATCAGGATTCCAATAAATCAAATAGGACTGACTAAGTCAACAGACTCCTGATATGGCGCTATACAATCAGCACTGGACAGTGAAACACAAGATAGACAGTTCAAACCCACCAGCTGCTCCATGGAAACCCTATACAGGATCGCTATGAGTCAAAATCAACTAACTCAATGGCACTTAACAACAACCAAAACTAAATAAACCAGTATTATTTATATTTAACAATAACAAACTGATAACATGCTTTTTTCTGTCCTGTGATACCATAAGATATTACTTTCTGATTCCTTTTCCAATAATACTTCTCTGAACTTCATAAAACTGAAAATAGCATTTTTCCCATAGGCAGCATACTAATAGAATAAGACATGTGTTCTTTACCTTCATAAGAAAGGTAGTCTCTTATAGCCAAAAAATTGATTTACACCCTTAATATCTAAGACAGAAGAAAACTATCTATAATTATAATTAGGATCCATTTTTGGATCCTCTTTTCCATCCAGGGGTCAAGTCATACAATCTCTGCCATTTTTGTTTGTTTGTTTTTAAATGCTGCTTACCTTTCCAAGTGAGCTGCATCTGCTTATTAAAGAATCTAACCTAAAAGGACTTCAAAATCCCACACCTCCCATAATCCTTCAAACTAAGGCACTCCAAGAAACTGGAAGCTGCTGTGCTAAGGGAAGTACCTGCATAAAGCCTAGCCTTCCAGGACCTGGCCTCTGAAGGGCCCTTCACTGAGTGGGTAACCCTGGCACATAGAGCAACTTAGCAGTTATAGTCCTTTATAACAAACCTAACGAAAGGGAAAAACTGTTCATATTACATTTTCCATCTTCCCTATGTCATATCCTTTATACTCAATTTCTCCTTCTTTCAAGCCAACACTGGGACTGTTATTCGTAAGTTCTGTACCACAAAATACAGAAGAGAATCAGACACCAAAGACTTAATCCCTTAGTAAGCCAGGACTAGGGAAAGGAGTGCGCCTGAGCTCCCTTTATTTCACAATGGTCAGTGAGAAAGTAGCGTAGTGGTTACTTATGAGTCAGGCTGCCAACCTCAAGGTAAGTAGTTCGAAACTACCAGCGGTTCCACAAGAGAAAGATGAGGCATTCTGCTCCTGTAAAGATGCCTCGGAAACCCTGAGTAGGGTCACTATGAGTCGGAACGGACTCCACAGTACTTAACAACAACAACTAATACTAAAAAATTGATGAAAAGCAGTGCCAAAAATTATTTCTTTTAAAAATAGTTAAGAAATGAGGAGTCATTATTTAGGGGATACTGAGTTTCTCTTAATAATGGTGGAATAATTTATAAAACAATAGTAGCAATGATTATACAACATTATGATAAAAATCAATGTCTGAATTGCACAAGAAAAACTGTTTAACTGGCAAATGTTTTGTTATACAAGGCAGCTTCCAAAAATGGAATGAAAAGATAATGAAATTTTTCCATGAAATTTCCAAAACCCCCTTGTGGGTGTACTTATTTACCACAGTTTGAAGAATAAAAGAAAATAACCAAGACAATGATGATACTATGGTTATTGGCTTCTTTGTCTTGTCAGATTAAATATGGAGTAAGAGAAGTGGATGATGGAGAATTACACATCACTGAGAGTTGGCCTATTTTATCTACCAAGGAGCTGAGAACATGTCCACTCACTAGAAGGAATGTACAGCAACTTTCATTCTAAGGTAGCACTGCTGATTAATGGTAAATACAGTGCATATCTATTTTTGGATATGGAGGCTAATAATTCTTTGTAAAAAAATCATCACACTGAATATTTTTAAAGCATCTGTATACTTTTTTAAATGTATTTTATACTTTAATATTTACAACCACCCCTCAAAAGAAACCATCAGCTCAGATTAAGAATTTAGGAAATATTAATATAGTCTGTATTATTTAATGTTTACTCTGTATTTTAAACTTCTTGGGGGCTGTTGTTGTTTTTGTTAAGTACCATGGAGTTGGTTCCAAGTCATAACGACCCTGTTTAGGGATTCCAAGGCTGTAAATCTTTACGGGAATATGACCGCCTAAGACAGGCAGCGTCCCTTAAACAAACAATAAATAAGGAGGATTCGGATGCAGACCGTGCAGACCCGGTCAGGAGGCCAAGCCCCTGTGGGCCCAAG